CGCCGTGATGAGAGCATCGGGGATGTTAGAGCAGCTCGTGTCTCTGTCTGCAGTGGCACGCCAACCACATCATTGACGGATCAAAGCAGACTTGGGAGTGAGTGGGCATCTTTCCCATACATGGGGAGGCCCTGAAAATGTCCTTTCCTTCCTCACGTTGCTTTTAATTTAGGTGTGCCTGTAGAGGGAGGTGGTTTGCAGAGGACCTGAAGGTCCATGAATAAGCATAGTTTAGAGGTCCCAGGCCCTAAGGAAGTCAGATTATCCTCCACCAGGGCCAGGGCCTTCTCAGTGATGGCTCCGGCCTGGTGGAATGCTCTGTCCCATGAGACCAGGGCCCTGTAGGATTTAACTTACTTTTGCAGGGCCTGTAAGACAGAGCTATTCCACCTGGCTTTCAATTGGAACTTAGCCTGATCTTTTATTCCCCTTCCTGCCCTCCCCCTCCCCTTTTTATGAAGATTACCCGCTCTGGGATCCCACAGCTAATTCTCCCCTGGTCTCCTCGCTGGCCCAAATAGGACCTAATTTAGCCAGCTAGCCCTGGTGATCATCTAATGTTGGATGGATTTCCCCCCTAAATTGATTTTGAATTCTGAATTTATTGTTATTGATGTTTTATACTGTATTTTATGCTGTTTTTTGTTGCATCAATCATTTTAAATTTGTTGTTAGTCACCCTGAGCCTGTTTTCTGAACCAGGAAGGGCGGGGTGTAAATTAAAATCTTTCTTTCTTTCTTTCTTTCTTTCTTTCTTTCTTTCTTTCTTTCTTTCTTTCTTTCTTATTATATTAGTGGATTGTTCTAGGACACACCCACACGATACATTTAAATCGCTATGGTGCCATGCCCCCTCAACAATCCCAATGTGAGCAGGACACCCCAGAATTACAGAAGCCACCCCAGCTTCTGATTGGATCCCGGAATAGTGTGTGTGTTTTTCTTCTTGTGGTTCTACCAAAGAATAAAATAAAATAGAACCAGGATTAAAGGGTTTTCCTCAGGAGGGTGGAGGGCATGTGAGCTGTGCCCTGTTGGTGTAGTGGGGGGGGCATTCACTGTTCTTCCAATAGGAAATGCCCGGGGGGGGGACAAAAAATGGGGGGGGATTGAGGAGGGTCAGTTGTGGGGGAGTAAGGAATGCCCCTATTTTCATCTGAGGAATGTTGGAGGGTATGTCACTCACTGCAATGCAAGGGGTTGGACTAGATGGTCCTTCGGATATTATTATTATTATTATTATTATTATTATTATTATTAAATAATAATAGTAATAATAGTAATTTATTATTTATATCCCACTCATCTGGCTGGGTTTCCCCAGCCACTCTGGGCAGCTTCCAACAAAGTATTAAAATACAGTGGTCTGTTAAACGTTAAAAGCTTCCCTAAACAGGGCTGCCTTCAGATGTCTTCTAAAAGTCTGGTAGTTCTCTTTGACATCTGGTAGGAGGGTGTTCCACAGGACTGGTGCCACCACCGAGAAGGCCCTCTGCCTGGTTCCCTGTAACTTGGCTTCTTGCAGGGAGGTAACCGCCAGAAGGCCCTCAGAGCTGGACCTCAGTGTCCAGGCAGAACGATGAGGGTGGAGACGCTCCTTCAGGCATACTGGACCAAGGCCGTTTAAATTTGTATACCAGACTATGCCAACAAGTTCCTTTCCAATTCCATGATTGTATGAACTGCTGTGCCTTGTAGTGGGTCAGATTGCACACAGCCACTCTCCTGAGAAACAGCAGTAAACGGAGATAGAAATCAGCACCCTGAGAAGTCTCCCCCTCCAAAGCAATGCTGCCACGAAAGGGGGAGACTGGTGGAATTGGACCTTGCTTCAGCAAGGCGTGCCTTTGTCAGATCTCTGAAGAGGCAGTGTCCATTGCAGTGTCCGCGGAATGAAAACCGTCTCCGCCAAACACCTCCTGCCCTCTGCATTGTGATCCTTGAGAGCCCTACCAAGCAATTGAATCAACCTGAAGAAACTCAATTACGGTGGCCTGACATTTCCAGGGAAACACAGTAAATGGAGGAACCAGCAAACGCATTCCCGCAATGCTCTGGCGCTGCCTCGGCTGTCGAGATAGCAAATCAATCCTATAAACGTTTCATATTCGATATATTTCTCATGGATCAGGGTGCCAGCTAGAACCTTGGGGATTTGCACGCATTTAATAGTTCGGGCGTCAGGCATGATCCAAGAACAGGTAAATAAACAGAAGGAAATGGTCGGTTGGTGCGTGTGGTTAGCTTGCATGCCTATGTTTCGACATGCTCTCCACGCTCATCTTCTGCACAGACCTGGGTGCATATAACCTCTATGTGGGGAGACCTTTGAGGTTAGTCCTGAGCATAGCTGTCAACCTACAGATTGAAAATAAGGGAACAGCAGCCTCGAAAATAAGGGATCAACAGCCAAAATAAGGGATTTTTGAGCACAGGTATGTTCAACTTCTGAGCCCCTCTGAGCCAAAGGCAGAAAGCCCAGCCAGCAGCCAAACAAAACCTCAAGCGGTGGTTCCCACAGCGCAGCAACCCGGCAAAGGGGACGCAGCAAGGAAGAAGAAGAGAAGAAGAAGAGTTTGGATTTGATATCCCGCCTTTCACTCCCCTTCAGGAGTCTCAAAGCGGCTAACAATCTCCTTTCCCTTCCTCCCCCACAACAAACACTCTGTGAGATGAGTGAGGCTGAGAGACTTCAGAGAAGTGTGACTGGCCCAAGGTCACCCAGCAGCTGCATGTGGAGGAGCGGGGACGCGAACCCGGTTCCCCAGATTAGGAGTCTACCGCTCTTAACCACTACACCACACTGGCTCTCACCAGTCAGTGAGGAAAACCACCGTCACCTCTCTGCTGGGAAGCGCTGAGCAAAGGCGAGTCCCCAGGCAACGCAGGCGATTTGATCGGCACAAGGCATGCAAGCTCCACCCCCCAGTCGTTCTCCGACTCCTTATTGGGTGAGCAACGCAGCCAAGCAACACAGTTGGAGCCTCCCTCCTCCCTGGCCGGCAGGGAGGGAGGGAGGGAGAGGAGCTGCTTCCTTTGAAACCCGGGAAATTTAAGGGACATCATCAATAAGGGACAGCAGTGGGACACAGCGCTGGGATAAGGGACTTTCCCGCCAAATAAAGGACGGTTGACAGTTATGGCTCCTGAGGCTGCCGATGGTGCAGAACGTGGCATCAAGGTTGTTTGTGGGAGCAAATGACTGCCAGCATATATCCTGCCAGTGGGATTTGCACTGTTGGCTATCGGGCCAAATTCAAGGTGTTGGCATTAACATACAAGACCCTATGAAGCTCTGACCCAGGTTACCTGAGAGACAGTCTTATCCCTTATATACCTGTTACGGAAATTACGGGCAGGGCGTCACATCTTTAAAGTTGTTAAATGTTACAAATATTATGCCTGAATGTATCCTTCCAACTTGACAGCTCAGGGAAGTTACCTAGCTTTAAAAATAATATAAAATCAGCTCCTTTGCCAGTTTCCTCCATTCCAAAGCTATTTTCCCCTTAAAAAAGGACTCCAGGAAGTGCCCAGACGTGACAATTGCTGAGCTGATTGTTGGCCAAGGAAAGCCTAATCCCATCACCAGACTTGCCAAAGGGGTCCAGACATGCAAAGGAAGTTCTATTGTACTTTGGGTGGTAGGACTTCAGAGGCGTTTGCCTATGCTCATCTTATACCTGGGTCTTGCCCTGACATGTCTGCTTATGCTAATCTTGTACCAAGGACTTGTCTGCACATGTTTGGCAAGGCTGAACTAGTGTAACCCCTGTCTACCCCTCCCCATTTTGTGACATGTCAGTGATGTAGCAATGATGCTGTACGAACTGTATCCTGGGATATGGTGGGAAAGTTTTAAAAGTATTTGTCACCCCATCCTCGGGGTTCAAAATTCCTCTTTGAGCCTGTTGCACAATAAACTTTGGTCTACAGCTATTTGCTCCGGTTGGTGACTGGACTCCTTCCTTTATTCCGCAGGGACCCGCGGGCTCTGCCCGACCAGCTGGGTGACTGAGCAGCCTGGCACACCTAGATTTTCCCGTAACATACCCATTCTTCAGGACAGCTTCTTTTACAACTTCTAAAAATATCAGAAGTCTACCCCGCAGGAACTCAGGGCAGGTGAGTGTGTGGTGTGCTCAGGTCCTGTCCTGTTGGGACATCTGATTGGCCACTGTGAAAACAGGATGCTGCGCTAGATGGGCCTTTGATCTCCACCGGCACATCTCTTCTAATGTCCTTATGGACGTTGTGATGGGAATTTTATGGTCTTAGACATATGTTAAATGTTCATAAGTGTACCAACCAAGCACATGCATAGATCAGCACAGGAAGACCGACCTGGAACCATTTTGATTCCCAAACTGTCCCAAACTGACCAAATGTTTTCTCTGCAAGGTCAAAGGGAAATGGAAAAGCCTCCCCATTGTCTTTTCCTTCACAAATCCTGTCTTAAGGGTATGCCTGTGTTTGAATAGGGTGTGAGCCTGTGACCTGGCTCAGGAACTAAGTATTTATCACTACAAAAGAATGGCCAGGCTCCCTAGGCAATCCAATCAAGTAACCTGCCAGACAACAGGAGAAAAACAATATTCAAATTTCTGTTTTAGACCGCCTTTTCTGTGATGTAGGTGTGATGTATCTGAGGGGTGGTCTTAGGTTACACCCCTTCTGTGATGTATGTATGATGTTTCTGGGGGTGGTCTTGATCTACAGGGTGGCAATTTCAAAAGTCTTTATAAGGCCTTGCACGCCATTTTTCTGGGTCCGTCCTCTCTCCTGCGGGTGAGGGGAGCACCCTGTTGCAACAGATCAATAAAGATCAGGCTTACTAGCTGCTTTGCTTCTCAATATTCTCTGGTTGGCCTCTGTTATTCTCTCCTACCAATAGGGAACCTATGTAAGGACTCTATATGGGCTCTTGGATACCCCATAAGGGAAAAGGGCAATTTTTGTTTACAACAACGTTACCATCTTCCAAGCAAAGAAACGGAAACTCCTTTCCCAATGGATTTATTTCTCCCCCAAGTGGTATCTCCCTTGTTCACAGAACAGGTAAGTGGCAAAAATACAAAATCCGGCCTTTGTCCAACTATCCCAAATGTACAGTCCTGGTTGGTGCTGCTTCCTCATTCCCATCAACCGGTCATCGTCCTGTGGCAGATTTCCAGAAGGGAAAGGAAACAAAAGAAAACAAGAGCATATCTTAGACCAGCTGAAAGAGAGGTCTTTCATTGCTTGAACATCTAGGGATGAGAAGCAACATAAAATCCTTACAGAACAACTCAGTCCCCACCTACAGTGATATCTGCAATGCATTCGGGACTGACAATTTAATTTTAGGGCTGCTAAGGAATGCGGGTGGTGCTTGCGGGATGTAAAAACGTATTGCAGCCAAATACAACATTCCTACAATGCACATGCTGGGGAATGCTTTGTATTACTCAGGAGAAAACTTGCTAGTTCCTTCTGAGCTTGGACAGACTTCCTTTGCATGTGACTTAATGTGGGTGTGGCCTGTTTTTGGACAGAGGAGCACACAGCCTCCGTGTTCTGCTCTTCTTGTACAGTGGTACCTCGGGTTACATACACTTCAGGTTACATACACTTCAGGTTACAGACTCCGCTAACCCAGAAATAGTGCTTCAGGTTAAGAACGTTGCTTCAGGATGAGAACAGAAATCGTGCTCCGGCGGTGCGGCAGCAGCAGCAGGAGGCTCCATTAGCTAAAGTGGTGCTTCAGGGTAAGAACAGTTTCAGGTTAAGAACGGACCTCCGGAACCAATTAAGTACTTAACCCGAGGTACCACTGTGCTTCATTTTGAGTTCCTAAGAGTTAGGAGAAGTGACTGCTGAGTCACAGTCATTTGAGAATATTTCCCTTACGGATAGTTCAGATAGTTATATGTTGTTCTGTAAATTAAGTCTTCCTTCAGGGATCATATTGTGAACTGGATGGTTGTACGTAAACTAGTTTTATGTTAACTTTAATCAGATGGTTGTGTCTATTCTTTTAGGAGGGATATAAAAAGGGAAACCAGGAATCCTAAATAGTGAGGCTCAGATGAGCCTGCAACTAGCTAACCGCTGCGTAATTTAAAAGGGGGATTGTTTAACAACTCGGCTAAGTTATAGAACTTGCTGACGCAAGTTAGGATGGATATCATAAAATAATATATCCTCTCCTGCCTCCCTAAACATCCCCAAAGCGCTGTGGTCTAAACCACTGAGCCTCTTGGGCCTGCTGATCAGCAGGTTGAGGGTTCGAATCCCCGCGACGGGGTGAGCTTCCGTTGCTCTGTCCCAGCTCCTGCCTACCTAGCAGTTTGAAAGCATGCCAGGGCAAGTAGATAAATAGGTACCGCTGTGGCGGGAAGGTAAACAGCATTTTTGTGTGCTTTTTTCTATTCTATTCTATTCTATTCTATTCTATTCTATTCTATTCTATTCTTTCCATCACGATGTCCCATTGCGCCAGAAGCACTTTAGTCATGCTGGCCACATGACCTGGAAATCTGTCTGTGGACAAACGCTGGCTCCCTTGGCCTGAAAGCAAGATGAGTGTCGCAACCCCATAGTCACCTTTGACTGGACTTAACTGTCCGGGTGTCCTTGTCCTTGACCTACATCTGAGGATTCCTGGTCCAGGACCATAACATCAGGTTGCAACACCAGGCCGGGTCCCCAAGCCACCTCTGATGGAACAAGGCATGCTGCCTCATTTTACAGTCCTGATCGGCAAGCCCAAGACGCTCAGTGGTTTAGACCACAGCGCCACCTGCGTCCCTCTAAAGAGAAGGGCCTGTGGCTCAGTGGTTGGGCTTCTGCCTTGCTTGTAGCAGGTCCCTAGGAAAAGACTCCCTGCCTTACCCAGGAATTAAAGGCAACAAAGGAAACTGGATAGATTCGTGTGAGGGACCGAGGGGGTCCAGGCTGCCCAAAGATGGAGAAGCAAATTTCACTGGCAGAAGTAACATAGGAAATTGGGACTCAGTAGAAGAAGGGAGGTGTGTGGGACGTGGGTGGCGCTGTGGTCTAAACCACTGAGCCTAGGGCTTGCCGATTGAAAGGTCGGTGGTTCGAATCCCCGTGACGAGGTGAGCTCCCGTTGCTCAGACCCAGCTCCTGCCAACCTAGCAGTTCGAAAGCACATCAAAGTGCAAGTAGATAAATAGGTACCACTGTGGCAGGAAGGTAGACAGCGTTTCTGTGAGCTCTGGCACTCGTCACTGTCCTCTGTGCGCCAGAAGCGGTTTAGTCCTGCTGGCCACATGACTTGGAAAGCTGTCTGTGGACAAACGCTGGCTCCCTCGGCCTGAAAGCGAGATGAGCGCCGCAACCCCAGAGTCACATTTGACTGGACATAACCATCCAGGGGTCCTTTACCTTTAGGGGTGCTGCACACAGAAGGTGTCTTCTGTGACATGTAATTGGCACGATGGTAGTGCACAGGGGGTGGGTTTCTACTGGACCACCCACACATTATTCTGCATTTTTAGCTTTTCTGCAACACGTCCCCAGTGTTATTGCACCGTTGCCACCTGGGCAGGTGGTACGGCGAGACAAGAATCGTACCCTGCAATGTGGGCAGCATGAAAAGCTACAGGATCCCAACAGGAGGTTACAGCTGGAAACTAACCTCTATTGCATATTGAACTCTTCAACTTTCAAACTCCAAAACTGAGGGGTGCTAAAAAGTTGTAACTTGGGAAATTCAATGGCCAGGGCTGAAAGGAGCTGGAATCCAAGGGACAGTGGACCGGCCCCCTGCTGAATAAGTTTGCTGACCCCTGGATTAGGCAGACCCACGATCTGCTCTCAGGGGGTCTTTCTTCTTTTGTATTGGGGTGACAACATTTAGGAGGCAGCCTAAATCCCCACAAGTGTTGCCCCGTTCGCCAGATTTTGCCCACAGTGAAAAAGAGAGGGGAATGAGAGGACCTGTCAGGATTTGGAGCGATATATTTACAGTGGTACCTCGGGTTAAGAACTTAATTCGTCCTGGAGGTCCGTTCTTAACCTGAAACTGTTCTTAACCAGAAGCACAACTTTAGCTAATGGGGCCTCCTGCTGCTGCCGCCCGATTTCTGTTCTCATCCTGAAGCAAAGTTCTTAACCCGAGGTACTATTTCTGGGTTAGCGGAGGCTGTAACCTGAAGCGTATGTAACCCGAGGTACCACTGTATATGCACACAGGACGTGGGTGGCGCTGTGGGTTAAACCACCGATCAGAAGGTCGGCGGTTCGAATCCCCGCGACGGGGTGAGCTCCTGTGGCTCGGTCCCTGCTCCTGCCAACCTAGCAGTTCAAAAGCACGTCAAAGTGCAAGTAGATAAATAGGTACCGCTCCAGCGGGAAGGTAAACAGTGTTTCCATGCTCTGCTCTGGTTTGCCAGAAGCGGCTCAGTCATGCTGGCCACATGACCTGGAAGTTGTACGCTGGCTTCCTTGGCCAATAAAGCGAGATGAGCGCCGCAACCCCAGAGTCGGTCACGACTGGACCTAAAGGTCAGGGGTCCCTTTAAAAAGGTAAAGGTACCCCTGCCCGTACGGACCAGTCTTGACAGACTCTAGGGTTGTGCGCCCATCTCACTCAAGAGGCCGGGGGCCAGTGCTGTCCGGAGACACTTCCGGGTCACGTGGCCAGCGTGACATCGCTGCTCTGGCGAGCCAGAGCCGCACACGGAAACGCCGTTTACCTTCCCGCTAGTAAGCGGTCCCTATTTATCTACTTGCACCCGGGGGTGCTTTCAAACTGCTAGGTTGGCAGGCGCTGGGACCGAACAACGGGAGCGCACCCTGCCGTGGGGATTCGAACCGCCGACCTTTCGATCGGCAAGCCCTAGGCGCTGAGGCTTTTACCCACAGCGCCACCCACGTCCCCAGGGGTCCCTTTACCTTTACCTATTTATATGCACACTTTAACGAGATCCACGAGGTTTCTCGATGAGGGAGGGGAGCGTGCAACTGCGCGCTGCAAAAGTTCCCAGCTGCTCAGAACTTTTGCTCAGCTCCCCTTTCTCTTGCATGTTATTCTCCTCTTGCTTGCGTTGAGGGCGTGGGTGGGAAGGGAGGAAACTGACTGTGGAGAGCGTCAATCTGGCATCTGCGTAGCTGGTGCAGCGGCTCAGCTGGAAAGAGGAGGGTTAGCTCATCAGAACAGTAGCTAAAGGGGTTTAGGATCAGCTAGCAACGTACTGCTTCATTGCCAGCTGACTCCAATTTCTGCATAGGTGTTTTTACGCACAGCCACATACCGGCTTGCAAGGAACGGGGGAAGTGGAGGCGGGAGAAAATATGGTACCTGCATCAGCCCTAATTCTGGGCACTGGCAACCTGGCAGGGCTCTGAAGAACCATCTTTGGGGCTGGGACACAGGCAGCTGTTTCACACTGAGTCAGAACATGGTCAGGGTTATTGTCTACCCTGGCTGGCAGCAGATCTCGGGGAATTCAGGAAGGGCTGCTCTCCCAGTTCGACCTGGAGATACAGGGGATCGGACGTGGGGCATGCAAGGAGCTACAGCCCTCCCCCAAAAAGAACGAAGGAAGCTGCCTTAGGTTGAGTCAGAGCACTGCTCCATCCATCTCAGCACTGCTTTGTATGTTTGGGGAGTAATAATAATAATAATAATAATAATAATAATAATAATAATAAATATTCAAAAAACCCACACATCTACAAATAAAACCATATCATCATTCTAATCTAATCATTACATATATATACACATACAGTGGTACCTCGGGTTACAGACGCTTCAGGTTACAGATTCCGCTAACCCAGAAATAGTGCTTCAGGTTAAGAACTTTGCTTCAGGATCAGAACAGAAATCGTGCTCCGCCGGCACGGCAGTGGCAAGAGGCCCCATTAGCTAAAGTGGTGCTTTAGGTTAAGAACAGTTTCAGGTTAAGAATGGACCTCCGGAAGGAATTAAGTACTTAACCCGAGGTACCACTGTATTGACTTCCTTCCTTTGTTCTAGACCTCGAAATTTTTACTCTTTCTAAGTTGTGTGTTGTTTTTTTGTGCTCTTTTTTCTCTTTTGTCCCCCGCCCCTTGTTTGTACTGTTTTATTTTGGATTCAATGTTTGTAGTTTTTGTTGTAATTTTGCATTGAAAATAAAATAATAATAATAATAATAATAATAATAATAATAATAATAATAATAATTTATACTCCGTCCATCTGGCTCCGTCCCCAGCCACTCTGGGCAGCTCCCAACAGAATATTAAAAACATGATAAAAGGTCAAACATTAAAAGCTTCCCTAAACAGGGCTGCCTTCAGATGTGTTCCCAAAGTTAGATAGTTGTTTATTTCCTTGACATCTGATGGGAGGGTGTTCCACAGGGCGGGCGCCACCACCGAGAAGGCCCTCTGCCTGGTTCCCTGGAACCTCACTTCTTGCGGTGAGGGAACTGCCAGAAGGCCCTTGGAGCCAGACCTTATTGTCCGGGCTGAACGATGGGGTTGGAGATGCTCCTTCAGGGCCGAGGCCGTTTAAATTTGCATACCAGCCTATGCCAACAAGTTTCCTTCCAACTGTATAATTCCGTGATTCCATGATGGGGGTTCCATGCCGCCGGGGTCGGGTGTGTGTGTGCTCATGCCCCCATGCAGGGGGCTGGGTGAGGGGCACAGGACAAATGGAGCCCCCCCACCCCCCCAGCCTCAGCCCCTGCCACCGCTGAAGCAGCACCAGCCCCGAGCAACATGGCTGTTGCACCCTCCACGTGATACCCTCTCTGAGTCTGAGATTTGCAAGGCTGCTTGGAGAGGGTGATGTGGAGGGGGGGTGTCGATGGGCGCACAGTTGCAAGGCCTTGCAAGGCTCAGATCCAAGCAGGGCGGTGTGAGAAGAGCACAACAGCCACATGCCCCTTGGTCCCAGCCTGTCAGGTGTGCGTGCAGGAGCCAGGCCCTGTGACCAGTAGGACTTTGCAGGACTGGGCCTTCCTAAGTTTGTTCTGGAGAGGCAAGGCACGGCCTCACAGGTGAGGCCGATTGGTAACTCACAGCACCTGGTGGCAAGAGCTGGGAAGGGATATAAGGTCAGCATTTCCCTTCGGCTCTTTGTCACAGCAACACACTTCCTGCCTTGCTACGTTTTGCTTCTTGCTTCCTGATCCTTGAACCTCGGCTTCTTGACTCCCTGCTTCTTGATCCTCGGACCCCTGACTTCTTGATTCCTTGCTTCTTGACCCTCGGACCCTTGACTTCGTGACTCCTTGCTTCTTGATCCTTGGATACTTGACTTTGTGACTCCTTGTTTCTTGATCCTTGGACCCCTAACTTCGTGACTCCCTGCTTCTTGATCAGAGACTCCTTATCTTGGCACCCATAAATCTTGAAGCCTAGCTTGGCTCGACTCCCAGGCTAATTAGCCAGCCGGACATCAAAGTGACTCTGCCACGGCAACGAAAAGCCTTGACTTTTCCACACGTACCTCTGCAGTCTCTCGCAGTCTTACTCTCCTGTAAGTGCCGTGAATCTGGGCCCATAACCTGTTGTTGGGATACTGCCAGGGAGACAAAGGCCATCCTGACCCCACGTCGATTCCGGACGATCCATCAATCTCCCGTAGATACAGTATCAGTCAATTAGCGACACGAGCCTCAGAAATAACATGCCACATTCCAAGGCTGGTGCACGCTCTTTCAGCAGAGTTCGCACAACGAAAGGTGCACTCAGGAGAGCATTATTTACAACTTTATTCAGCGTTGATCAGAACAAAGAAAAAACATGACTGCCTGCTTCGATGTTCAGGCGCAGAGTGAGAACGAAAGCAATAAACAAAAGAGAAACTTCCTGTGAACAGGAAATACGCAGGCTGTGACACAACAACCTGCTCCCTTCTTAAGGTGGAACGGAAATATCCTAACACCTCGGACCCCTGACTTCGTGACTCCTTGCTTCTTGATCCTCGGACCCCTGACTTCGTGACTCCTTGCTTCTTGATCCTCGGACCCCTGACTTCGTGACTCCTTGATCCTCGGACCCCAGACTTCGTGACTCCTTGCTTCTTGATCCTTGGACCCCTGACTTCGTGACTCCTTGCTTCCTGATCCTCGGACCCCTGACTTCGTGACTCCTTGCTTCTTGATCCTCGGACCCCTGACTTCGTGACTCCTTGCTTCCTGATCCTTGGACCCTCGGCTTCTTGACTCCCGGCTCTCTGACCCTCGGACCCTTGGCTTCCTGACTCCTGGCTTCTGGACCCCCGTTCCTGCTCCCACCCCGCCATCTTGCCCCCGGTCCTGACATCCCCTGCCAGGACTTCGATCACCCTTGAACCGGACCGTGACACTGCCTCGCCAGCACACAAAGCCACCTCACCTGTAGTCTTCTTGCACCACAGCTCGCATTTCTGCTTGGATGGAAACTGATTGGCGTTCCCTCCGCAGCCTCCAAATATAAAAGGCCGGCAGTTATTGGCTGCCTGGTGGTAATACCAGAGGACTGTGTACCGTAGACAGGAGCCTTCATCCATTGGCAGGGCACACGGATCTGCAAAGAACCACAAACATCTTGTGAGTGGGTGAGACGTCATCATCACTTCAAGGAACTTTGGGTGGAGAGGAGAGAGAGAGAGAGACTCAATGTGCTAAATGAAAATCCAGTTTCAAAACCCCAGGTACTACCAGTGCCATTGATATGCCTGGTGCATTATAAATACAGTGGTACCTCTGGTTGAGAATGGGATCCGTTCCGGAGGCCCGTTCGCAACATGAAAGGAACGCAACCTGCAGCGGCGCGTCTGTGCATGCGCGGTTGCGATTCGCTGCGCATGCGCATGCGCATGACATCATTTTGCGCGTCTGCCCTTGCGTGAGCGGCGAAACCCGGAAGTAACCCTTTCTGGTACTTCCGGGTTGCGACGGGACGCAACCTGAAAAAAACGTAACATGAAGCAAACGTAAAATGAGATATGACTGTATCTCATCCCTGGCCCAAGGAGTTAACAATCTAAAATTCAGTGCATGAGAAACCACAGAGGAAGGAAGGGGGGCAGAGAGATGGGGTAAGAGAGTGGAGAAATCGGAATGCATTTCAGTTAGGTCACAGCTAAGGGGGGATGTGGGTGGCGCTGTGGTCTAAACCACTGAGCCTCTTGGGCTTGCCGATCAGAAGGTCGGGGATTTGAATCCGCACGACGGGGTGAGCTCTTGTTGCTCTGTCCCAGCTCCTGCCAACCTAGCAGTTCGAAAGCAAGTAGATAAATAGGTACCGCTCTGGCGGGAAGGTAAATGCATTTCCGTGCACTCTGGCTTCCGTCACAGTGTTCTATTGCGCCAGAAGCGGTTTAGTCCTGCTGGCCACATGACCCGGAAGGCTGTCTGTGGACAAACACCGGTTCCCTCGGCCTGAAAGCGAGATGAGCACCGCAACCCCATAGTCGACCTTTGACTGGACTTAACCGCCCAGGGTCTTTTACCTTTTACAGCTAAGGACATGGAGAAGAACTTTGATTCAGGTCAAACGGTAAGAAAAACCACCCTATTTTGCGCTGTCCAAAACAACACAACAACCGAAAAACACAACAACCATCCTTTGAAATTTGCACTTTTCTGAATTTTGCGCTTGCAGCTACTGTACTACGTGGCAGCCCCCTGAGATATTTGAAGAGATTTCTCCTGCTTTGGGGGTAGGACTCGAACCAATGGCTTCAAGTAACAAGGCAGGAGATTCCGACTAAACTTCAGGAAGAAATTTCTGATAGCAAGCCGTTCAACAGTGGAACGGACTAGCCCTCAGGAAATGGTAGACTCTCCCTCCTTGGAGGTTTTTAAGAAGAATGGTGGTGAGGGAGGGAAGAGAGGTCTGCAGGCTGCATGCAGGTGCCTCCCTGCCCACCTCGCATGTAGTTATGGTTTTAAACTATAATTATTAATAAATAATACATTTTTATTTATACCCTGCCCTCCCCGGCCAGAGCTGGGCTCAGGCGGCTAACACCAGTAAAATTACAATTAAAAAACACACAAACCAATTTAGAATACAGGTTAAAATATATTTTAAAATGCAGCCTCATTTTAAAAGTAGCCCATAGATCAAAACCATAAGGCAGACAGGGGTCCTTTTTACATGTTTTATTCCTGTCCATTCAGCAGCACATAGAATCGTGACTGCACCCTTCAGACTCCATTAGGAGAGTAACAACCCTCCGCCCCTGTACTTCCAGTACAGGTCAGATGACACTCTGAGCTAACATCCGGTGCTCAGTACAGAGAATAGGCTCCACCTTTTCTCCAACAGTACATCTGCAAAACATAACATCCTGTTTTGCATTCCAGCCATCTGGAGCTGGCTTTTGCCTTGGTGCTTTTTCCTGACATCCTCCCCCAAAAGCATCAACAGGCAAAACATGATCCAGAGAAGAAAACAAACAGTTGTTATACATATAACAGTCCCCTGTTGTTTCAGTTCCACCCTTGGAACTCCCCACCACTGGTTTCACCAGTGTACCTCTCTGGTTGTCTGGTTTCCAAGGAATGAGTGCTTCTGCATTACCTTGGCTTGCTACTCTCTGTTGTGTCTTTGTCTCTGACTTAGACACTGCTTTAACCTGCTTTGAGTTGTTAACAATAGCAACACACGCAACAGCTAAGTTAGCAAACTCTTTTGAGTACCTCTTTGGTGGTACACCCTTTGTAACTCTCTCAGACCTGCGTATGAGTTTCTGATTCTCTGTGCTCACTGGTTCAACCTCTGGACTCTGTTGAGAACCAGTAGCATTGGCTAACAGTGGTTCTTCCTTCACCTGTGAAGGTCTATCCATTGTGTGAGATTTCCTCTCAATGACTGTTACAACTGAACTCTCTGAGCTATCACTGTCATCATCATCAATACCACTGTAATCTGTGACATCAGAAAAATCGTCATCATCTGAATGGTCACCTGTCAGGGTCAGACTGAGTCCAAACCAAAGGCCAGGTGGAACAGCTCTGTCTTGCAGGCCCTGTGGAAAGATGTCAAGTCCTGCAGGGCCCTGGTCTCTTGTGACAGAGCGTTCCACCAAGTCGGGGCCAGTACTGAAAAGGACCTGGCCCTATTTGAGACCAATCTAAGCACCTTGTGACCTCGAAAATGTTGTCATTTGTGGACCTTAAGGTCCTCCGCAGGGCATACCAGGAGAGGCGGTCCCTCTCCTGTGTGAAGCCCCAAAAATAGTTCAGAGTCTGGATCTAGGTCAGATTGACCCTAGAACCTTTGGCGCCGCCTGCATCCTTCTAACTCCCAAGCAGAGGCTGAGTGGCCATCTGTCTTCAGTTGAGATTCCTGCATTGGAGGGGGTTGGACTCGATGACCCTGGGGGTCCCTTCCAACTCTACAATTTGATGAGTGCATGGAATTCGCATCCATGGGATACAGCGACAGCCACCAACTTGGACAGCGTGTAAAGGGGGTTGTGGTGCAGTGGTTAAGAGCGGTGGACTCGTAATCTGGTGAACCGGGTTCGGTTCCCCGCTCCACCACATGCAGCTGCTGGGTGACCTTGGGCCAGTCACACTTCTCTGAAGTCTCTCAGCCCCACTCACCTCATAGAAAGTTTGTTGTGGGGAAGGAAGGGAAAGGAGAATGTGAACCGCTTTGAGACTCCTTTGGGTAGTGATAAAGCGGGATATCAAATCCAAACTCTTCTTCTTGTTGTATGAACTCACGGAGGCTATCAGTGACAACTTGCTGTGATGGCTATGTTTTGACAGGGCTGTTGTGTTTTGGTTGTGCTTCCGGGCTTCCCATTGCGGCATCTCTTTGGCCACTTTGGGAACAGGATGTTAGAACGGATGTGGACCACTTTTGGCCTTATTCATCTTCTGATGTTTTTTGTCAAGAGGAATCCCACTCTCATGTCAACAGGCAGTTCATTGCAAGAGTGCTTTATACTAATCCTGAATGTGGCAGCTAGACTGGTGACTGGAAGCGGCTGCCAAGACCATATAACACTGGTCCTGAAAGACCTACATTGGCTCCCAGTACTTTTCTGAGCACAATTCAAAGTGTTGGCGCTGATCTTGAAAGTCCTAAACGGCCTCAGTCCATTATACCTGAAGGAGCGTCTCCACCCCCATCGTTCTGCCCAGACACTGAGGTCCAGCTCCGAGGGCCTTCTGGCGGTTCCCTCACTGCGAGAAGCCAAATTACAGGCAACCAGGCAGAGGGCCTTCTCGGTAGTGGCGCCCGTCCTGTGGAACGCCCTCCCACCAGAAGTCAAGGAAATAAACAACTATAATGGTACCTTGGGTTAAGAACTTAATTCGTTCTGGAGGTCCGTTCTTAACCTGAAACTGTTCTTAACCTGAGGTACCACTTTAGCAAATGAGGCCTCTCGCTGCCGCTGCGCTGCCAGAGCACGATTTCCGTTCTCATCCTGAAGCAAAGTTCTTAACCCGAGGTGCTATTTCGGGGTTAGCGGAGTCTGTAACCTGAAGCGTCTGTAACCCGAGGTACCACCGTATCTGACTTTTAGAAGACAACTGAAGGCAGCCCTGTTTAGCGAAGTTTTTAATGTTTGATGTTTTCTTGTGTTTTTAAATATTTGTTGGGAGCCACCCAGAGTGGCTGGGGAAACCCAGCTAGATCGGCAGGGTATTAAATAGATAGACAGATAGATAGATTAGATAGATAGATAGATAGATAGATAGATAGATAGATAGATGATAGAACTTTGCAGAGAGCTGATGTCAACCCTAGGTGAAAGCTCAGCTTCATATTCGCCAATTTCCTTCGCTGTTGAAAAGGAAAAGCCCCCCCTTGGGGGCTGGTTAAGCCACTTCCCCCTCCCCCGCCCCACATGTGCTCCATTACCAGGGACACTTCCTCTAGTGAAAGTGACTCTCCGAAATGCCATTTAATTCGCTGCTTTTCACCCCGTAATGGGCTTGGCGTGCTCACCACCGCCAGCGCCGAGACGGATCCATTATCTCCTGATCCCCTGGAGCCCCAGAGGCAAATGGAAATCCGCCGGTTAATGAGGGCATGCAAATAAATTTGCCGAGAGATTTAAATATTGATCGCTACGGGCTCGGCGTGGCCCGCACCCCCCTCCCTCTCCCCGCCGTACGAGGAGCTCTTGATAAAAATGTCACGGAAACAATCGTCGGGCGGCAGAAGCATCAGGAGCAATAAAAAGGAGACTTAATGGCTTTTAACGGCTTAGGCGAAAAGGTTGGGTGTTAGTCAGAGGGGAATCGGTGGCCGTGTTGGGGGAGGCCGGGGGGTGAATGTCAGGGAGCTGGGGGGGGATCTGTATGTCTGAGAGGGTCCAAAAGTAAACAGCAAGGAATGGATCTGTCCCAACGGCAGAATCCTGTTAGCATTCAGATTTGCTATCTGCACTCAACGCTGGGGAAGAGCTATTTATAAGCCTGGCTGCCGGCCACTAATGGGATTCTGAGCTGAGGGTCAATCGCATGTAGGCCTACAACACTCCACCCCCTTCAAGTCCCCAGGGCTCAAAAACTGTCCTTGTTAGGATGGAGAGAAGGAAGGAATGGGGGAATTGG